TAGGAACTGGAAACACAGGGAATTCAGGATGGATGATCCCTTCAGGACCAGTGCTGTGAGTGGCAATATCCGGAGAGTGAAGGGAGGGTGGGGTGGAAAGGGGGAACCAATTACAGGGATCTACATATAACCTCCTCCCTGGGGGATGGACAACAGAAAAGTGGGTGAAGGGAGACATCGGACAGTGTAAGGTATGACAAAATAATAATAATTTATTAATTATTAAGGGTTCATGAGGGAAGGGGAGCAAGGGGGGAGAAGGGAAAATGAGGAGCTGATGCCAGGGGCTTAAGTGGAGAGCAAATGTTTTGAGAATGATAAGGATAATGAATGTACAAATGTGCTTTATACAATTGATGTATGTATGGATTGTGATAAGAGTTGTATGAGCCCCCAATAAAATAATTTTTAATAAAGAGAGAGCGAGAGACAGGTTGAGTCTTGTCACTGACCCCACGGACCTGGTTCACAGGAACTAGAGGAAAGATGAGAGTGGGTTTTCTGGTCTGAAGAGTTGTGCAGAACCTGAGGCTAGGGGATGACCTAACCCAAGGGACTAGAGTTGTTAAGAGTTTGTAAAGGTGGCCAGGATCAAAAGGTGAGGTGTGCAATGGGCACACAGGTGAGCACAAGTGAGTGAGTCCACATTAAGCTGAGCAGAACCTGACCAGATGAAGATATGATTTTTGAGCTTGTGAATTGGTGCTCATTTCTGGCTTTATGGATGGCCTGTCCTGATTTGATTTTCTTATAGATGCAGCAAGGTTCCAACTGGAATAAAGATTCTTCACATCAAATAACATGCTTGTTTCCTCAGAGCCCTGAGTTGATTGAAGGGCAGTATTGAAATTGGATACTCAAAATGATGGGGTGGGGCATTGTGGGGCAGGAGGGATAATAAAAGCATGAAGTGGTTGGCTTATAAACTTTCATGGGTGGGGGTATATGTTGATAGGATTACAGGATTATGGTGTGGGTGTTCACATAACTTCAATTGTTAGGCATAGAATACTTTTATTTTGTTCACCTATAGAATATTGTTTAAATGGGGCTGGCACATTTTGAGTTGTACACATTTTATTTTTATCTTGTTAGGCACAAATATAATTTTACTATTGTCTTTGTTTTAAAAATTATATATAATTAAAAGCTGTGAAAAGGTGTCAAGTTTACAAGGGGTGGTCTGTGCTAGTTACATAATTTCATGTCAACTTGAAGATATATAAAAGTGTAGGGGAGGAGTCCAGCCTGCCAATCAGATGACAGCCTGATGATGATTCCTTGTGGACGTGGCCTTCTCATAAGGAAGGTTCTGTGAACCTCCTCCTCTCTCTATGGCTTGACCTTCCTGCTGGCTCACCTTGATGGTGGCTAAAGCCCTGGAGATGCATCCAGGGCCATTGGATCCACAGGACTGTGCACCCACTAGCCTGTAGTATTCCTGCATTCTGCATCATTGCTTGTGATTACATGAGTCTGAAGAAAGACTTATGGGCTAGTATCAGAATTATGGACGTCAGTTGGACTGGGCTGGGATGTTTTCCTGATATATAAAGCTTCTTGATCTAAAGTTCTTTATTACACATATATGAGTGTCACTGGATTTGTTTCTCTAGTCAAACAGGCCTAATGCCATTCTTATAAAATGACTCTGCTCAGTATTCACCTTTATGAAGAGATCGTTGAAGATAGGGGTGCTACAGAAAAGTATGGTGAAGAAAGTAGACAGCGCCCAGTTATCAATTGGACTAGTGCCTGGAGTCTTAAAGGCTTGTTTGTATTCAAAGAAGCAGCCAACTTAGCCAAATAAGCTAAGTGAGGCATCAACTAAGACCAAATGGAAGAAGCACACCAGCCTGTGTGATCCAAAGAGGACAATAACAAAATCCAAATATGATGAAGGAAGGGCTTAAATTGTGAACACCCAATTTGTAGAAGGTAGACAGTGGGAGCCCAAAATCCATCTGCAGAGTAGCTAGGCCGATTAAACCTCTGGCAGATCCCCTCTGGCCACAGGAAAGGAACTCAAAAAGCTTTACTATCAAACAGATTATTCTAAACTTGATAATGGTGGATCAAAGTACGGTAAAATTTGATACTTGGTCAACCTGAATTTGTTCTAGACTTAAATATTTCTCACTTGTTCCATGACAAAGATGTCTTTTCTGTTTTTTTCTAATATTGTTAGTGGTCTTTTCTTCCTTAGTCTTTGTTTTTATGTTTATATTGTATTTATTGTTATTATTTTCTTCCTGTTTCATTTTTTGTTTTTTATTGTTTCTGTTATAATTCCCAGTTTAAAAAGTACAGAAAGAGTGGATGCATAGAGACAATGATAGGGGTCATGGGGGGAGGAGGGGAAATAGGGAGCAAACTGATTGCAGAAGGGATAAGAAAGCACTAGAACTGATTGTGATAATTTATATGCAACTCTCTTTAAAGGTAACTAAGGAAAATTACTAGAAAAAAATCTCATAAAAAACCAAAGTTAACCAATGTTCATCATGGGTGAAGGAGAAAAAGATTTTGATTAGGGCGCACTGAGTTTATGTTAATGGCAGTGGAATAGTTTAGAAAAGGATATCAATAATTGTTGCAGAACACAGAGTATAATCAACGGCACTAAGCTATACATGTGGAAGTTGTTGTATTAGAGAATCTTTTGTTGTGTATATTTTTGCCATGATATTTAAAAATGATTACACTAATAGCAATAAGTACAAGGGAGAAAATGTTCTAAAATTGATTGTGGTAATGATCATACACTCTTCCTGATATGATTGAACTATTGAGTTGTCTGATGTGTGGATGAAGTGCCAACAAAACTATTTTTTTTCATTTATAAGATTTCACCAATAATAAATTTGGAAGCAGGTTTCTATCCATGAATATTCTAAAGCTCATGGATCATTCATGCTAAAAGCTATTCTTTCCAGTAGAAATTATTCGAAGTTTACATGCTGTTTCTTTGTTATCTGGCACTATTATAGCAGAAATACCACAAGTGGGTGACTTTAACTAACAGAAATTTATTTTTTCAGGTTAACCAAATTAAAACCAAGCTCATTATCATCCAATCTATACCAACTCAAAGCAATCCTAAAAAACAGAGTGGAAATGCCCATAAGGCTTTTCAAGGCTGTAAATCTATACAAATGCAGGCTATCACACCTCCATCCTTCAGAAAAGCTGATGGGGGTTCTTTCCGTAAACAGCCAAGTGCTCAACCACTGGACCAGCAGGGCTCTTTGCTCACCTTGCTCACAGGTTAGGAGGCTAGAAGTTTCCAGGCAGGATGCTATTCTAGGAGAAGGCTTTTTCCCTCTGTGGGCTTTGGAGGAAGGTCCTTATCTCCTTTCAGCTTGTTTCTCAGTGATTTTCATCCTTCTCCACATCTATGCCTACTTCACTGTGCCTATCTCTCAAAAGCAATTGGCTTAAGACACACTCTACAGCTATATGACCTCATAAGCATACAAAGTAAACCCATTCCCAAATGGGATTGTAAC